CACAAATAGAAATTTCTATCACCTCTTTCCTTCACATACCTGACAAATACCAAAAGTTGGCTATAATTATCAACATCAATTGACTCATCCAGTTGCATGCTTATTTTTAGTAGACTGATTTTTATGTCTTCGGTTACTTGCATGAAAATATCTTCACTGAGATCTTGTATTCGCTATCGTATAATATCATTCAATAATGGAATCTGTTGGATTTTTTTATGCGCTTCCGAATCTAAAACTGTTTTAACAATAATTAAAGCAGAAGATTTAATCAACTCTTCAGCGATCGTGTGAGGTTTCTTTTTTTTTTTTTTTGCACATAAATATGCCACTTGATATGACGCTTCTAATAAAGGTTTTTGAATTGCTGGTTTTTGAATTTTAGGATAGTTCCACTGGTATCAAACTGAGCCTTCTTTGACTTCAAGCTGTTCATGCTATGCGCTTTTTCGCCACCATGTAGATTGTTGAAATGCTCTAATAACTTTGATGGTTTGAGATTGCTGTTTGAAAATATCTTGGGACACAAGATGGATTGCGGTCATTGTGTGCAATTTTTTTCGATTGTGCAAATAAATCCATAACCGGCATACTTATCGTTCCATTGCATTTTTTTTTTTGACATAGTGGGGTTCACTATAATCGATTTAATTATTTAGAAATAATGTAATATTATATATATAATGTTCTTACATTTGTAATATCACTGAATTTATTCGGCTTGAACGGGCAATTAAGAATGTATTAAGGCCCGTCTACACGTAGCGATTTTCTCGGCCGACTTAGCTGGCCGACAATATCTGAGATAGCTCGCCTGTTCACACGGAACAATTTTCTCATTAGCACAGGAATTCACTCAGGCCAATCACTGTGAAAGGAAGTGTTCCCGCCCTCTACAGCGTCACACTGTCTGATTTGTAAACAAAAACAGTGTTGTCAAATAGTCAAAGTAATGGATGACTATTTTAAATTGCTACTTATTTTAAATTGATACAGCTACAATTTTGAACTTAGCTACTGCTACAAAGGGGGGGGATAAAAAAAACGTGTTTGAACCAGATATTGGATCAAACGACGAGAAATTCATGGTGCGTTCGTAATAAATACCCTGCTCCGGGAGTTGCGTATTGAAGACGCGGTGAAATTTGGAAAGTATGTATGGAAGATACCGCGTGATTTTGATTTTTTGCTAAATTTAGTTTGCAGCAAAATTTTAAAAAAAATATGCTTTTCCTTTGTGTACCGAGTGCACAGATTACTCCTTATTTTATTTATTTATTTATTTTTAAATTTCACTTTCCGGCACTCCTATTGTGCATTTAAATCTTGAAATAATAAAATACCATGTTTCAGAAAAAAGAATAAGAACTGGTTTTATATCAAAACCTTTATAATGAATAATAGACAATAATGTCATGAATATCAAACCAATATGAATAAAAGTATAGTAATAAAGAATAAGATTACTACATTACAAAGCAACAGTGTAATTCAGTACAAAAATTTTAATAAAAAAATATCATAAGGTGCAAAGTCTTAAGGTATATATTATGAACATTAAGAAACTAAATATCAGCATAATTGAACATTAAATAACTAATACAGTCTGAAAACTATGATCATATGATTCTGTCAGTTAATCAGCGAATAAAATTTAGCAATATTGTATTAAATTGGGCTGTAACTTGCTTTCGTAAAACTCAATTAACACAAAACTCAGTTTGTGACTTGTGACTTTCTTTTCACCAGTAGATCTAAAACAGGTGCCAACGGCCATTCGAAAAATAAAAAGAAAGACGTTAACATTCAATAAACACCCCACCCGTAGGCGAAAAAATAAAACGCGACTTTTATGTCATGCAGTTCGAATTTAGTGATGGAGAAACTAAATTAAAAAGATCTTTCCAGGCTGCAGACAGAAAGTCCAAAATTAAGGTGGTAGGATCGAAACTCACGATCTCGATGTACGGAGAAAAAACCTAGTCTGCTCTTTACACCATTGGGCTATGATCGCTCGTGTAGGAGGTTTCGAAAAAGCTATGTACATTCATCACCTGATTAACTCCCATTTTTGGCGAAGTCAATTGAGTCTACTGCCCTGCTTTATTCTCGACTGGAGGTTTTGCTTTTTGATTTTTTTCAATAAGTGCAACCACAGTTTCAAGTTGTTTCTGAATATTTTCATCTACTACCCATGACACGGCATCATTAATAGTTTTTGGAACTTTTCTTGGGGGAGTTAAAATAATTTTCACCCCTAATAGAAAATATTTGAATATATAAAGTAATGGGGAAGACAAAAAGCTTACCAAAATAAGTGAATCCCTTAATTTTTTATTTTTAAAATTTACATTACTTGTATCCCACAACACATTTTCTCTATAGAAATCTATTAGTTGAGTTTTGCTCCAACGAAATGCAGCCATGTTTATTATTCCAAATGAGAAAAGCACATGATCACTCAAAGCAATCTTATTGGCTAGAGACTCCGATTTTAATCATACGCTAGTGAGCAGTGAATACCAGTTCTGAAATCGCGGCAGAGAACATGACCAATTTTTGGCGCAGGCGTAGATCCTTAAAATTGTTGCTCTACGAGAAAGTCGGCCGAGAAAATCGCTTCGTGTAGACGGGCCTTTGGTCTCAAGAGGTTTCTGGACAAGTCAGAATACACAATAATCATGTCGCAGACACAATAGTTGACTCAACCTAACACAGGCACAGTAGATGCAGATACAAATCTGTGAATCTGTAGATTCCATTGGAGTAGCACATATTGAACTCGGCGCATGCACAAGCTGGGATAACGTTCTCGCTTTTATTCCACAAAGTTTTTTCTTTCCCCTCACTAGCTGCCTGTTCACGTTTTGTAGCGTTCATGCCTTTCCGTAGCGTAATGTATCGCTCATCGGCACCGGCTCTTTCCTGTGCTTTTGCCGATAAGTGAGCTAGGTGCTACCATTTTATGAGCTTCAATATTGGGACCACTATTGCAGATTTCAAATATTTTATTATAAGAAATTTAATAAATGATATTTAAGGGGCTTCTCCCGCACCCCCGGTTAAGAACCACTGGTCTAGATAATAAGAACATAGAGTGAGAAGTGTGAATTTAAGTGGCATTCCTTTACTAGATTTGGTAAGGAGTAGTGTCACATTGTTATGGTGATTTTTTTTTCTAAATGTTAATAGATAATTTCTGTTCCTTTTAACCTTCCAGCAAGTGCGTATGTGGAAAGTTTACGACAAATTCAGTTTTGCATTGCATTTCCATCTCACTAACGTAAGAACTTTTACTTATATTTGAATGTGATATCATTTGTATTTTGCAATAATAAGATTAATATTTTATTTCTTAACAAATTTATTATCAATATTGACTCATTTCTGTCGTTTTTCGTGCCCAACACAGTAAAATAATGTATGTCGTAAAAAATACGACGTGCTCGTGCTCATCTAAAATTGCCAAGCACGCATACTGGAAGGTTAAACTCTGTAATTAAAAGTGGGAAATAAAAAATCAAAAGGGTGAAAAAATAGGTTATGCTTATGCATTTTATATGCAAATTATATCTTTTTGTGGTGAAGATTATTGTGGCAGAGCATTGCAAAAAATTTCCTCATATTCAGAAGGGTAACTACCTACCTTAGCATTTTTTGCTTTTAAATATTATCTTTTCGATATTCTATCTTGCCTATCTTGAGAGCATTGGTCTCAAACTCGAATTGCACATGGGCCAAATAGTCGACCCGGAAACAACTGATGAGCCAGAGTATTTTTTTTTAACAAAATGAAATTTTTTTTTATAAACAAAATAAAAAGTACTTTAAACACTTAAATACAACTCACTAAATATTTATCAAAATATACATTAACAACAGTAATATCACAAAAGGAATAAAACAAATTTTTTGTCTGAAATCTGAAGCTTAGTAGCTTAAGACACTTTTGTTGGTTATACTTTGTAATTCAAATATATCAACAGCCAAATATTCACATGACATTTCTCTTTCAAATAATTTTAATGTGTTTAATTAATCATTAAATAACTTGCTTTCATTTAACTTGAACCAAATTATGTAAACTTTTTGAGCTTTCGGAGAAAATTTATCAAGTGGGACAAAACCTGAGAGTAAATATTGACAATTTTGTCTCCTCCTCTTATTTATTAGATTTTTCATTGAAGCATAAATAAAATTACATATATTTGTATGTAAGTAATAATAAACTTTTGTTATACAGTCAAAAGTTGTTAATTCAGACACCCATAATCCGGACCTCAAAGCTAAAAACTTTCTGCGCATGCGCCGCGTTGACACATGCGCATAGGCGTTTATGCGTGCACATAAGAACTTTTACCACTGCGCATATGCGTGTGCGCAAGCGCAGTATATGTTTTCGCGTGATCGTTTTATGTATAATGGACGGTATAATCTAAAATTATCTAATTATCTATTTCAGTTAATGTTGATGATTGCGTTGTTCCTTAATCTTCGAATTGGATCCGGCTTATTATTTTTGCAGACTGTAAAAGCAATTTTATAAAAAGAAACTTGAACTTTCGATTATGGCAAAATAGAATTTCCGATTCTGGAACTCCCAAAGGATCGTACAAAACGAAAGTATGTTTCGATGTCCATCAACAAAAAGTGGAATTGCTGCAAAAAATGGATAAAGACATGAAGAATGTGACAGAGAGGTTAGTGGAAAATGAAAAAAAATTTCGATTGACAAGTTAGTCTGGTATTCTCGGCACAACAATTAACGGGACTTGAACAGCGGAACTTTGTAACTGAACAAGAAATTGTGTCTGTTTATAGAATTAAAGAGAAAGTATTATCACATAAAAACCAAAGCAACTTAAAAAACTTACATTGAAAGAAATGTTTAATAAAAGTAAACAAGTAAATATTAAGCTTTTTTTTTTTTTTTTTTGTAAATTTTGATACCCTTTAGATTATAATTGTTCTTATTTCATAAATTAAGGTTTCATATTTTTAATTTTAGAATTTCTGCATGCCATCTTACGAGATTTAAACTGATGATCTATAATCCGGAATCGAAGTCCCGACGAGTCCGGATTAACGACGTTTGACTGTATCTTACTATATGTGGACACTAGATGGTATTTCAATTTTGTTAAATTTTCTAACATTGGAGAAAAATGATGTTAGTGGGTTTTTTTTCTTTACCAATGTTCAACTGGGACAAAAAGCTGTTGACATGTGAATGAATTCCCAAAATGATTGCTCTCAGTAGAAATTTTTTTAATTAAGTTTATCTTTTGACAAGTATGAATTTTAATCCAATTTGTATTCCCATATCTCTTAGTAAGATTAATGTCCCAGTACAGAATAATTAGGTCCATTTCTAATTTTTTGACGCATTATTCACGTTTTTATTGGAAATGAAAATAATATAAACTCGGTATTTCAAATAACTAAATTAGGGTATACTTGCAATTTGTTTTATTTAGATAATAACATGCTTTCCATATTGTGATAATTTTGTTTTACATTTACAAAGCTCCATAAAAAAAGCATTAGTTGGAAACCCCATTCCTACTGGTAATCTGTAAAATGAACTGAATTTTCAATCAACTACTAGTTAGCTGCTCAGCTTAAGAATAGAAATAAATTCCTGCAGCAGTTTATCAGAACTCAGTGAGCTTATCCCAAAGAATGAAAGTTCTGATAACAGCTAAAGGAAGTCTAGCTGCCTATAAATAGCACTGCTGTAGTTTTAGGATACATTATCAATAGATGGCATGTGATTTCTGGTAGCATGTGCATTTCAGGATTTCCAGATGCAATCAGAATAATTATTTATTGTTAAAATGTCTACCATTGCCTGTTTAGTTTTCTGTATATTTGATAAGTTTGTTTCTGTAAACAAGCATGTAAAATAAAGCTCTACATTTTAGTGATTTATTTGTTAAAAAAATGCAGGTCCCATAAATAATGTATACACACTTTAACAAAAGAAAATTCTTTATTGTGTGTTAGTACCTATATTAATATAATCATATATGTCAAAAATTAGGTTTAAATGCAGTCTTCTTGTACCTGTGTAGTTACTTATGAGTGTTAATAAGTGTCATAGTGAAGCAATTATTGCTAGACATATAGCACAACAGCAAGCAGTTGCTTAAGCAACATTGGTCATTGTAAAAAAAATCTACTGAGAGTGCTGCACATACTGCTATAATTTTTTGACAAAGATCCTTGGGTATGATGGATTTCATGGTGCTCTTGAACGTCTTTTTAAGCCAAGGGTTCTTGGGTGGGAGGGGACTTCAGCTGCTTCCTGCTGTGCCATTAAAAAATTATGTATGTGTATTTTTTGAACTTTTTGAAAGTGCTGTCTGATGATGTTCTAGTTATGGTGAAAGATGTACGTGAGGCAAAATGGGTTGAGAACCACTATGCTAGGGGATTTCGATTCACTGTCTGTTACATATTACAGACCTTGAGAGTACTGACATGTATTGATCAAACACTATAGTGCATAATGTAAAAGTAGTTCATTTCAACTTTAAAATCAATGCACAGAATATCTGTTAGAAGTGTGTAAACATTTTTCTGGCAGACCATATATTTCAATGGAAACATACCCAGGGAGTGTATAAAGCTTGTAATTCCCATCATTTCATTAATTAAATCTGCAGCCTCTCTCTCTCTCTCTCTCTCTCTCGAGAAAATAAAGATTAATTTAATATAATTTTAGTTATCAGTTTTATGTATAGTGGCAATTAAACTTCTGCATTGATGTTTTAAATTATGCATTCCCAGCGTGGCCACTAAAGAGATGTAGAGAGTGCTACTGGCTTAAAGGCCACTGAGAAGCAAGTTTGCAATTGGAACATATTTTAAAAATTTGTTTCTTTAATCATTCATGTAATTGTATTATGTAATACAGTCTCGCTTTGTTACAAGAATCACACCAGGTCACATGAATTGATCTTTAGCACAAGCTGATGTAAGGTGCATATAACATCATGTTTCATACTGAAGGGATTCTAAAAAATGACAACAAATCTGTACTTGCAGAGATATCCAATGCACAAGTAGCATATTCTTTCAAGATGTACATCTTTGTAAGCTGTTGTAGAATATTTTTGTAGGTTTATTATAATAAAAATCCTAATGTACGTTAAATGTTTTTCAAAGCTTGGAACTACTCTTGTGTACAGCCTCGCTTAGCGGCAAATTTCTCGCCAAATATTTTTGGCGAGAAACTCCGCAATACCATATTACTGTCTAAATTTTTTGTCTACATTTTAAACTTTAAGCCTAAAATGTCTCCAAAAATGGGTTTTCGCACGTGCAAAAACCACGTTTTAAACACACAATTTAAGCTAAAAATCCGGGGAAAAAAATTTTAGATAACGAAAATGTAAAGTTTGTAACCAAAAATATTTGACAAGAACTCGTGTACACAGCGATATGTTTTAACTTAAAAAACAAAATCACAGAATTGCACAATTTATGCAGCAAAGAAATATATGAACTATATAACAACAATAAATTTCAAAGAATACCATGTACACGGTGCTCTGTTTAATTAAAAAAAAAAAAATCTATGAATTGCACGAAGGAATCTACAAACTACGACTCCTTGCTTTAATAAATTAACATAACTGCAATAACTTTCAAGAATATCTTGTACACAGCGTTCTGTTTAAACTTTAAAAAACATCTACGAATTGCACGATCTAGGCATTGTACACTAAAACCCCGTTCAAGACGAGGGCATAAAGGGCATAAGTGGTTAAAGCCGAGCTCCGTTGCCAAGCCAACCAGTCTCAGCTACGTCACAGAATTTGATTTAGGGCTCGTGGCATAGGGTCCAAAGTTTTCAACTTTACGATGCCGAGTTTGGGATAAACGTCTCGACCAATCAGAGCGAAGCTAAAACAAAGCTGGCTTTCTTTAGACGATTTCGCTGTCACATAACGAAGGCGACGTTTTTTTTAATATGGAACACATCGTATCCGAATGAGTTGTAATCGTATCTGAACGAAATAATTAGTTGTAATCATATCCGAACGAAATAAAGAGTTGATCTCGCAAGAAATCTGCGATGATGACATGCATTTTTTGATGAGTTTTTAATGGATTTTTAATGAGTTTTTCAATTTATATTGAAAAATATGGATGAAACTCGTAAAGCGAAAGTTAAGCTCAGGATTATTCACACTGTGTACGATCCTGTAGATCAAGGATGTCAAACTCGCGGCCCACAACAAATATTTTTGTGGCCCGGCCAATATATCGGCAAATAATAATATATAATAATAAAATAACATATCGAAGAAAAAAATGAAATGTTTACTGCTAAGTAATTAACGATAATTTATTCAGTGTTGTTAGATTACTCACAGCGAGCTAACACACACTACTTAAATTACAAATGCGTGTGAGTAGCTTGCGTTCAGCTACCTTCGGCTTTTGGGGGACATGTGCACTCAGAACTTGTACGCATCCCCCGATAGCCGAATGTGGCCGAACTCATGGTCTCAGTTTTCCAATCATAGTTTTGTACGATATATTGGTGCATGCATGTGCATGCACTTTGCTGTATTATTAATTATTACTTAATTCATATTGTTACGGATTTCATAGTTATTTATTTATTTAGTTTTTTTTAAATTTAGAATTGTAATTAGATTTGCTTCATGTGGCCTTAGCAACGCAGACGATTTTTGAAAAGACAACTGCTTTGGAAGGTTAAAAATAGAACAGCGTGTGCATTTAATACTAATAAATAAATATCTTGTAATTGCTGTTGCCATCCACAAAAATCCAGATATTTATAGATGTTTCCAGTATATTCGAGAAATTAATTATAAAGCTTATAAAAGCCGAGAACAAACAACTCATCTCAGTAGTAGCTGTAGTACTAGCGAACTGTTTACTTAATGCTGTGATTGATTTGTAGCGATTTCGCTGTGAGATAGAATTAGTTTCTCTGTTTTGAATTGATTTTTGCTAAACGGTTGACATTTTGTGATATTGTTAGAATATTTTTGAAGAAATATTTCAGCATTTTGATTTATCTCTTGTGGAAAGAATAAATTTTTGTTAACTTTTTAACGTTAACCGTGTTTATTCCAGCCCTTTGTATTCAGTATGTCTATATCAAAACCAAGTGGTAGTAAAATTAAATGAAAAATCGCTGACGAACATAGAATATTCCAAGTAAAATGGGAATTAGAATATTTTTGCTGTAAAATAAAAGATAAAATAATCTGCTTGATATGTAATATTACTATTAATGTACCAAAGTTGTATAATATTAAAGTCATTACGAACAACACAAATCAAAATATAACAATTACGAAGGATTAATGAGAGAAGAAAAGTTGAAAGAGCTCAAGTTAGGAGTGAAGCGGCGGTACATGCAAGCTACGTCTTGTCCGAGTTGATAGCTAAACATTTGAAGCCTTTTACTGGTGATTTCATCAAGGAATGCCTAATGAAAGCTGGAGAAATTGTTTGTCCTGGAAATGTGAAGGCTTTTCAATCCATTTCATTGTCTCGAAATACAGTTGCGGAAAGAGTTACTGATTTACCCGCGAATTTAAGTGATCAGATCAAAGCAAAATCATCTAGTTTCGAAAGTTTCTCCATTGCCTGTGACGAGAGTACGGACATTAGTGGCAAAGCTCAATTAGCAGTGTTTCTTCGTTCTTGTGACAAGAATTTTAACATTTTTGAGGAATTATTGGAACTAATACCAATGCCTGGTACTACCACAGGAGAAGATATATTTACTTGTGCTTTTGGACTTCTGCAGAAATACAATCTACCTTTGGCAAAATTAAATTCTGTAGCTACAGATGGCGCTCCATCAATGACCGGGAAAAACAATTGCTTTGTAGCATTACTAAGAAAAAAACTTTGTGAAATTCATGGTTCAAACATTCATCATATGCATTGTATTATATATCAAGAAGTTCTATGCACGAAAGTAATAAATATGGATAATGTTTTGTGATATATAAAAAAAGTTATAAATTTTATAAGATATCGAGGTTTAAATCAGCATCAATTCACTGCTTAAGTGAGTTAGATAGTGAATATTCGGGTTTGTCCTACTATACCGAGGTACGTTGGTTATCTT